CCCTGCTGGTTATTTAAAATACCAGTGGCGTAGCACTCAGAATCACAGCAATTCAAAGCTCCACAGCATGACAGACAGATGAGTGGCGGTTGTGTGGTTGCTGTTAAATAGGAATCTCCTTGTGCTAGGGCCCTCAAGTCCAGCTCAAAGGCAGGATTTCCATCCTCGGATGTCAGTCAAGAGGCGTCAGCACAGCAGGGGCGACTGAGTTGTAGTGAGAGGCTTTGGCCTATGCTCGTGAGTCTCTAAGTTGGTCGACTCTGCCTCAAAGTCACGATTCAACGGTTAGACTAGGAAGTCTCTCATGTCCAGGGTAAGTAGGACAGCCTGGCCGACCCTTGCAGTCTCTTCCCACTAGGCAGCGTCTCCCCACAGACCTGGTCTCCAGACATCTCTCTCCCTGCCTCTCCTTGGTCTGGGTTTCAATTAAATATAGATAACTATCCAACTTAAAATTGTTGTATGTGGGCTCTACAAGAAGTTCATGGAAAAATTCCATTACAGTGTCATTCCTTTTTTTCATGAAGTTTTTTAAGCCCCTTGTTTAGCAAACCACTCCAAACTCAGGATGTAAAACAACAATCTTATTAAACTCCCGGGTTCTTTGTGTCAGGAATATATGATAAGATTTTAGAATTCATGGAAAAGAATATTGTTGTTGTTGTTTGGTGTCATTGAGTTGGTACCAACTCATAACAAACGTATATGCAACAAAACAAAACACTGTTCCTTCTTGTACCAACCTCGCAAATTGTTGCTACGTTTGAGCCCATTGCTGCTACCACTGTGCAGATCCATCTCATTGGGGGTTTTCTTCTTTTTCTATGACCCTCCTCTTTACCAAACATGATATCCTTCTCCAGAAACTGGTCTCTTATGAAAGACGAAGTCTGATCATCCTGGATTCCGAGGAACATTCTGGTTGTACTTCTTCCAACACAGATGGATTTATTCTTTTGGAAGTCCATGGTACTTTTCAATATTTTTCTCCAATACCATAGCTCAAATTCATCAATTCTTCTACAGTCTTCCTTATTCACTGTCCAACTTTCACATGTATGTGAGGGAAGAACAGAGTCAACATTTCTCAAGCTCAGGGAACTGAAGAAAAAATCCAAGGCCGAATTTAAATACTGAAGAATTCTATAGGCAAAATATTAAATGGTGCAGAAAGTATCAAAATAAGATGGAATACATAGAGTCACTATATCAAAAAGAAATGATCAATGGTAAACCATTTCAAGAGGTAGCATATGATCAAGAACCAGTTATACTGAAGGAAGAAATCCTAGGTACACTTGTTGGGGACTGTCCTCGACATA